GTCATTTACAAACATTTATTGATCATTCTGCTGACCACAAAGAAAAGCACAGAGACAAGGAAGGAAACACCCACCCAACGGCAACCATCAACATGATATTTTCGATCCCCTTAAGGAAATAGATAAATCAAGTCAGAAGAGAGATTAGAAGGTCGACACACTTAAGGGAAGTGATGGCCTTGTTCGAAGGCTCCACAAAGAGAATACATTCTTTAGAAGTGAGGATCTCATTTTCCGATGAAGACTTCTTGTGGATTAACCATCCACACAGTGACGCTCTGGTGGTAACCTTGCAAATTGGAGAATTTACCGTCAAGAGGATACTGGTGGATCAAGGTAACTTTTCAGAGGTCACGTATAACAAGTTGTTCAAAAGTTTGGATTGTCACATGTTGACCTGCATCCTGCAGGATGCACCAGTGTACGACTTTAATTTTAACCCGATTTTTCCTCTAGGAAAAATCCTCTTGCCAATAAGGGCAAGAACAGTAACCCAGCAGGTGCAATTTCAGGTGGTGAATGTCCTCTCCCTATACAATGCGATAATGGGAAGGGTGTGACTTCACAAAATGAGAGCTACTCTGTTTACCTTTCATCAGGTTATATGGGCTAAGATTTCCCACCATTGCCTTGCCACTAGATTTGTGTGTTTCTCGCTATTTCCTTGTTACCAAACACACACACACACACACACACACACACACACACACACACACATATATATAGGCAACAATTAAGGGCAAAAGTGTATCCCAATCTTTAAGCCAGGGGATTGATTTTTCAATCCCAGCTCATCTGAGGGAAAAGTAATCTGGTTGGGGTGTGGAAGTAATACTCCAAGTGGAGTAGCAGTCCCACTCAATAAGGAAGCAATCAAACAAGCTTTTGTGGGACCCATCTTTGTACTACTCCAATCCCACACCCTAATTAGCAAAACAAACATGACCATAGGATTTATAGAAGGAAGAGAGGGGAAGGAGGAGGCAATAATTATGTAAGGTAGATGAGTAAAAATTTGATGTGAGATGCTGACGTGGAAATTCATCATTGGCTGCCCATAAACTTCGGTTTTACGGGACAACCATAAGTAATTTAATCCCCCAAAAATGATGAAAACGGTTCTTTTTTTTTTCTAGTACTACACTCCTTAACTTATGCCAACAAAATGACAACATAGAGCTGAATTAAAAGTTTTAGTTCAGCAACGTCTAACCGAACATTATTCATATGTTTGGCACTTTGAATGTAATCTTAATGTGTACTTATATTTTGGTTGTGCAATGAACTTTAGTTTATTTATTAATCAAATTGGTTGATGCATAGTTATTTTTATTTGTTAAATTTTGATGGGTTAAACTTGTTCACAGACACAAGACTTTACGTTTTTATAATGTTTGGTAACACACATGTCTGAACATGATAGAAGAGAGATCAACAACAAAGAAAGGTTGGTGGTGAAAGATCGACTATGAGAGAAATCGATGGCAGAGAGATCGCCTGTGACAAAAATTGACGGCAGAGATATTGATGATGGACAAAGATCAACGGCGAAGCTTTATCGACAGTGAGAAAAAGTTTGAGTCCAACAGTACGAGTTCAGCAATTGATAGTAAGAGAAAGCTTGAGTTTAACAATGAGAGTTCAACAGTAAAGGATTTTGAGAGATAAAATTTTTTTTAAGGGGTGTACAACGGAATATACATCTTGGTGGGTGTGATATTTTTAAAATAATACTTTTAGTATTATTTGGGGGGTTGTTGGAAAAAATTTAGTAGCGTTTGGTAGAGTTTTATAAATATGATTTGAGAATAGAGTTATATTTTGAGTTTTGGAGTTTTGGAATTATGATTTGAATGTAGAAAATTTGTTTGGTTATGAGTTTTGAATTGAGTTTTGGAGGGAGTGAGTTTTTGAAATTAGAAAAGTTATTTGATTAAAAAACTTACAACTCATAACCAAACGCACAACTCAAAATTCTATTCAAAGCTTATATAAAAATTAAAAATATTTCGAAAATATTTTTTATGTACAATATAAAAATAATAGGTGCAAAAAAAAAAAAAAAATCAAACAATGTTCAGGTCAACTGGCCGAATGTCTGGGAGACGTTCAGGAGGACAACCAGTTTAACCAAATTTTCTCTCTTGGAAATGAGTTTTCAAAAGTGAGTGTGAAATTATAATTTGAAGGTCAAACAAACACCACACTCAAATCAGTGGGTAAAAATGTGTTTGGAATATATAACCAAACACAATCTTTAATAATTTGAATTTTGTAGGTGGGAATCTAAAGAAATGGGGGGTTCCAAAGCATTAGTTGAACAACTAATTGCAACACTCATAAAGTAAAGATTAGATTTGGTATCGTCAAACTTTTAAATTTTTTTTATGCCAAGTAATTTTTTTATTTCTCTATTTAAAACATAAGATTATATACAAAGAAAAATAAAATTCGAAACCAAAACTGTCAAATGAATAAAGAAAGCCCTTACCATTTATAGAGAGAGAATCGGCAACAAGTTCGTCCAAGTCCCCTTTTACACCAACCTACACACAAGCATGCTCATTTTAATAAAAGTAAGGTATAAGTAAGGTTGATTATCCATAAATGTCATAATTGAATTATTTTTAGTCATAATTAAAATATAAAAAAATAAAATAAAATTGAGTCATAACTAAACCACCACATAAAGTATAACTAAAATTTTTTAGATTATAATTAAAATAATGTTACAACTAACATCACAATGAGTCATAATCAATTACACAATGTGTATAACTAAATTATAACAAAATTATAAATCATAATTAAAAATCACAAATATGATAACTGGGCCATATACACCCCAAAAGCAGGTGTCTCATTGGATTTCCCATATTTTATTCATTGGTTTGGAATAATAATAAGGAGAATTGCTTACTACTTTGTATATCAGATCAATCATGACCTATAATTATTATTAAAAAAAAAAACCTTGAACTATTATGGACCAGGTTCTTTTATCTACTCAATAAAAACAAAATAAATAAATCCTGGGACATGGATCTTTCTTTCTCAATTGTTAGATTATAAAATTTAGAGTTAATTACCTAAAAGTTCTATTTACAAAAGTTATGGTAGTTCAGGTCCTATTTAAGAATTTTTGAACCAATAAATTCTATTTAGTAAAACTGAGAATATTATCAGTTTTTCCTAATTTTTAAAATTAAGAACATTATCAATTTTGCATAGTAATATTTCAGATAATTGTTTCATTAACTGATGAAAAAAAAAACAGAGTATAAGATTAAACGTTTTTACCCTTCTACTTATTGGGATGATTCAATTATCCAATAAAACCGAAAATATTATCAGTTTTTTTCAGTTTTAGAACTGAGAACATTACCAGTGTTTTCATTTTTTTTTTTTTCAGTTTTGCACATCAATGTTTCATTATCATGTTCCTTTATAGACACAAAATTTTTAATTTTGCACAAAAAAATATTTCAATTTTTTCAAAAAAAAAAATTAATTTTTTTTGCACAGAATTTTTTTTTTAGTTTTTTCAATTTGAAATTTGATTTTTAAAGTTTTGAAAATCAAAATAAATGTCATATCATTATGTTCTTTTATAAATAATCATAAATGATGAACAATCATAATTTGGAAGGCAATTTGGATTATTAAAACTTTAATGGGACTTGAAGGTTCAAAAAATGTTAGTTAGGACTTAATGGAGTATACGTTCATAAATTAATACTTGTGTGTAAATATCTCAAAATTTTAATACATGATTTAATAATTGAAAGTTTGTTAAGACATGATGATACATAATAATTGCAAAGAGGGATGGAAGAATTCCAGAGAAAAAGGATTCTTAGCGAAATCCCGAGATCCTCGAGATCGGAAAAGTTGGATAATTTTCATAGGTTCATCATTTGACTTTCAACCGCGCTGCATATCCCCAGTGGAGGTCGCGCCCCCAGTGACGTGGCGCGCTCCTACTGGCTGAAAACTTAAAAAAAAAAAAAAAAAAAACAATTTTTTTTTTTGGACCAATCCGGGGCCGACACCTCACTGGGGGTCGACCCCCAGTGGGGGTAGGAAGCATTAGTCTTTGACTTTTAAGATACTAAGCATGATGTCTCTTGTGTTAATAGGCTCTCAATTACTAAATCATGTCATAAAATTTATGTAAGTCAAGATTTTTATATGATTTAATAGTTAGGAGTGAATTATAAGAGAAGGATGGAAAAATTTGGGAGGTTAGGAGTGAATTATAAGAGAAGGGTGGAAACTTTTGGGAGATCTAGGCTTCATGACCAAATTCTAAGGGTCTCGTTTGTCAAGAGGCTATTTTAGCCAATTAGCCAAAAAGTTACTAAATTAGTCAAAAAGCTAACAACTCATACCAAAAAGTCAAAGATTCTCTTTTCTCTCTACTTTTTGCACATCTTTTCGTAATTAGCCAAAAAGTCATCCCAAACATACAAGTTTTTTTTACCTACCTTTTTAGCCAAATAGCCAAAAAGTTACTAAATTAGTCTGTTCCCAAACGAGGCCCTCGAGATTAGAAATGTAGCATAATTTCCAGGTACACCACTTCAAATTTAAGATATTATGCACTTATTAGGGACTTTTCACAGCAAAAGTGTTTGAAGATCAGGATTAGACACGGTATTCATGCAAGCTTGGTTCAGTTCCTTTTAAGATCTGTACGGGAAAGGAATAAACCTTCTTGTATAATTCTGTTGATTAAGTCTGCGCTCCTCCGTACGTCGTCGCTTTATCACCTGAAAACACAAACGTGAGCTAGACGGCGGGTGTGTGCCGGAAACCTCTCCGATGCCTAAGTCAGTAAGCTTGACAAATAGACAAAAGGTCTGTGTATTCAGAAAGCAAAGTTGTGTGTTACCTCTCTAAAGGTGATGTTTGTGAGCTTTTATAGGTTTCGTGTGGCACAATCCTAGTAGGACTTCTACTCATCCATGCAGAGTCCTCCTAGGATTCATACTCCTGAAAGATAATGCTTATCCTTCAACACCCTCCTCACTGCTTAAACCAAGTGAGATGGTTTTTACCATGGCCGAACTCCAATATGACTGAAGTAATCATGGTTATGCTGAGCCGCTGAGTAGGCCGAACTATCCTTAGTTCGGTTCTTCCTTTCGCTACACCTTATCTCGGTTCTCTCATGTACAAACCATGGTGTGATCAGACCGAACTACCGAATAATAAGGTTCTGACCGTTCTAACCACAATACGCCATGACCGGGCTAACTCTGAGACCGGACTAACTTCAAAGTGTCTTTAGACCGGACTAACTTCAAGTCTCCTCCGGGCCGGACTAGCTTCGGGGCTCTTGGACTGGACTAACTTTAAAGCCTTTTTACTCAGCCCTTTGTGTTGCGGCCCATGACAGTCCATTACCCAGCTTGGCCCAATTTTCATATAAATTACCCTCTCAAGATCTTTTCTTAAAAAACAGCAAAAAATAAAATAAAATAAAATAAAATATTGAGGACCAAACTTCAAACGCAAAAGAAAAGCAAAGCAAGAGGAATGAAGGGAAGAAATGTTTACATCCGACAGGATCCCAATTGAATCTTGCCAATCCCATAAACTCACTTTTGCTGCTTCAGAAACAAATGCTAATAATAATGAGCAATGGAAACAAATCAAAGAAGATAAGGGAACGACCAATATATATGACTTTTCTTTGCCCTTCACAACGTAGAGTCAATGAAAAACAAGCGATCAAAATAATAAATAAATAAATAACAATAATAATTATTATTATCATTAAGGAAAATTAGTGAACGATAGTGCTACATGTACTAATTAGTGTACACACTAGTGTACCAATTAGTATTATAATATTATTATTAACCACATTTATTATATAAGTTACAAATACTCAAAACCATACAAATGATGCCACATCATCTGTTAGTACACTAGTGTGTATATTAATTTGTACATATAACATTATTCATTAATGAAACATCTCTCTCTAACTTTGTGTAGTAGAAGAGGTCCAAGATTTTTTTTTTATTAGCTAAGGTCTCTTGATGAAATTTCTCTGTGATCATACCAAAGAAATTTCAAATTTTTTTTATATTGGGGCTAAAATTTCTCTGAGTCGGATACAAATTTCTCTAAGTCGAATTTCTCAGTGAAAATGTTAAGAGACCCCAACTACTATTATCTTATAAAATCCTAATATTAGGGACTTAAAAAAAAAAAATCTTCTTACTTTAAGCTCTCCTATGGAATAATAATTCTCTTAAAATGATAAATGATAATTCCGTTTATAATGTAATTTTTATTATTTTTTTAAATCAACCAAATACAACAATATATATTGACTATAAATAATTATTCTATTCTATCCCATTTTAAGGCCAAGTTTGGAATGATAAGAAAAAGTCAAAAAGTTACTCAAAAAGTTAAAAAGTTAACACTATTTACCAAAAGTCAATAATTACGGCTTCACAACTCCCAATCATAATTTTCCCCTATAAATCAATTTTTACAATTTTTTAATACACATTTTTTCATAAAAAGTTAAAAAATTAATCCAAACATCCATATTTTTTTCCTCAATTTTTTTGTCTAAAAAGATATAAAATACACTTATTTAAGGCACTCCAAACAACCCCTATACGACCAAACACTACTTTAAAATGATAGGGTTAAGATTTTAAAAGTTGAAAAGTGAAATAATTAATGTACCTTCAACTTTCGTAGAATTAAATCTCAGTCTTCCGTAAAATCACTTCAAGATCAATGTAAAAAAATCCATCCAGATTAGTTGGCGGCTTTCCACGGAATCTCCTGTTCCAAAAATCATAAGATCAAAGGTTCCGCTTTTTAGTTCAAGATTTGTCAGGTGAAAAAAAGGTTTGAGAGGAAAAACCATAAATAAATAAATAAATACATAAAATGAAGAAAAATAAAAGGCACACAAGTCATAAGTTTAATTTTAAATTTTTTGAAATAATAGTTCCAAATTCTATTTTTTTTGGGCCAAAAGAACAAAATAATTTGAAAAATCATATTACCTTACTTCTATTTGTCCACTGTCCAATTAACTCTATAATTGTCAATTATTTGTCCATTTGTCCATTTGTCATTCCCTTAATTATTTGTCTACATGTCACCTATTTATCCCCTAATCTATTCATCTGTCCATATTACTACCACCACCAACCAACAAGGCAATGATATAGCAATAGTGGGATAAAAATAGGGAAAAAAAATTCTTCAAAATAATAATTCATCTTTCTCACCAAATAATTTCATTAGTCACGTTCTTATCTTCATAAAAAATCAATTCTAACACCCAATATTTTTTTCTTTTTTTTGAAGAAGAAGACCCAAGACCCAATGCCTGATCTCATAGAAATAGACTTATCCCCAATAAATTCAAAAAAGAAAATAAGGATTTGAATTAAAAAATAGGGAGAATTACACTGATATGGAGTCAATGAAAAGTATTTACAAGAAAATAGAAAATGTCACAAATACTAATAATTAATATCATAAACTTTTTCATTAATATAAAATAATTTTTTAACAACCACACTGAGCAATAATTCCCTCTTAAAATAATGGTGAAAATCCATAAATTTTGTTAGATTATAATTTTGAATTAATTTTTTCTTTTCTTAGAACTAAAAAATAGTCGTAAAGGGATCAAATTCTGTCAAACTCTAAACTAGAACATCGATATTCAAATACGGAATGAATCAATCCAAAGCATCAATTCATGACGCATATTATAAACTTATGAATTTTAGAATCCTAGTGATTAATTGATGACTATTATCTAGATCAGAAAAAAGAGAAAGCTACGCTGAAGGAAAAAAAAAAAGAAAAAGTAAAAAGAGCGAATATACCTTATCTATGCGTTGAATGCAAAGCCACTGGAATCGGAAACACAAGCCACTGGAATTTCGGTTACAATTTGTATGCTTTTGAAGGAAAATGGGTTGTGGGTGAAGGGGAATTAGGTAATCAGAGGTGGGTCTCCTCTTACTTCAGCCAACAACATTCACAAACAAGGACTTAATTCTGATCCAAATGAATTTTCTTTTAAAAGAAAATGAAAGAAAATTAACAACCAAAATAGGAAAAGTAGCATTCATATTTAGGGTCCACATTGCAGAGCGTGCCATTACTAACTTGGGGAAGTCTAGTTATCGTTTGAGAATTGGTAACGCGCTTACAATAATTGAATTTGAAATGGGGTATGGGAAAGTGACGTGTACTTAAATAAGGAGTGTAACGTCTATGTTGGGAAAAATAAAGGGTAATGTTAAGGACACCAAATTTTCTACCAAACAAATGACCAAATGTCTCACATGGGTGTGGGGTCCGCAATTTTGTGAGCCCCACACCCATGTGAGACATTTGGTCATTTATTAATGAGATAATATTTTTTTTAATCACACATTTTAAATAAGTGTGATTATATATATTTATACAGTGTTTAAACCCAAACCTCTAACCTTATATATCTTATATAGAGTCTAAACCCTAACCTAACACTACCTCTCACTCTTCTCACTCCCTTCTCTCTTTGGCCACGTTTGTTTGACGGATTAGATTAGATGTGATTATTAGTGAGAAAATTGTTAGTGAAGAGATTGTTAATATGTAGATTGTTAGTGAGAGAATTAAATAAAAGTGTATTTGTTTTGATGATAGTATGAGAGATGGTTAGTGATGAAATTATTAAATTATTTTTATATAAAATAAATAAATAAGAGGCACTTGATAAAAAAAAATAAGATTCATAATTTTATATTAAATAATTAAAAATTATAAAAAAATATAATGATTTGTAATTAATAAGGAATATCATCACATAACACCTTTCTATCAATTAAGGTAGGATGGAGTAAGTGGAGAAGTGCGTTTGGGGTATTGTGCGACAAATGAATACCCACTAGACTAAAAGGTAAATTCTATAGAACGGCGTATTAGACCAGCGATGTTGTATGGAACAGAGTGTTGGGCAACCAATAAATATCATGTAGATAAGATGAATGTGGATGAGATGGGGATGCTAAGGTGGATGTATGACAAGATGAGACAAGATAGAATTAGGAATAAGTGTATTCGAGAATGGATAAGAGTGACATCGATAGAAGATAAGTTGAAAGAGAATTGATGGAGATTGTTTGGTCATATTCAACGGAGACTAACAGAGGCAATAGTGAAGAGATGCGATACAGTGACGGTAGATAGAAGTGTTAGGGGATAGGGTTGGCCTAGATTAACGTTGGTTAGTGTTGTAAATAAAGATATGAATCTACTTAATTTGACTAACGATATGACCTTTGATAAAGTCACGTAGAGAAGAAGAATTCATGTAACTGACTATATTTAATAAAATTTAAGGCTTGATTGGTTTCGTTTTGGTTTTATTAGTTGATCGAAAAGCCTTATGTGATGATATTACTTATTAATTACAAATCATTATATATATATTTTTTTATATTTTTTAATTATTTAATATAAAATTATGAATTTTATGTTTTTTTTACCAATTATAATATTGTTACAATACCACTTGACAGTGGTGTTCAGAACCCGCCAATAACTTGGTTTTCGTTGAGTACAATAACTGAAATGAAAGAGGCTTGAAACGGTACTGACATATATGTTTCATATCCACAAACAAGGACATAATTCTGAGCCAAATGGTTTTTCTTTCAAAGAAAATGAAAGAAAATTAACAATCAAAATAGGAAAAGTAGCATTCATACTGGTTTTAGGGTCCACATTGCAGAGCGTGCCATTGCTGACTTGGGGGAAGTCTAGTCAGCATCACGTGACGTTTTTTATATACATTATAATTGGTGGGGAGAATAGAATTGTCAACCATCTTAGAGCATCTTTAATAAAACTCTCAAAATACTTGTCAAAGTTATAATTCAATAATAGTGATAAAAAGTAAATCTTCAATGATTTACTAACATTAAATTAGTTTTTACAATTGAAATTTATGAATAATGCCGAATGAGTTAAGGCGCAACCATCTTACCTAAGACCGTAGTAGTTTTTACAGGTGAAATAGCATCGTATAGTTCACTCATGGGACCATCATGGGCTGCAATTTGATTATCTATTTCATTTATTTTTCAAGTATTTGAATGGAGATCGTTGATTTATTATTTTGTTATTTATAAAATTAAAAATTTATATATTTTAAAAAATGATAAAAGGATAAAATTATAATTATTTAATTAATTAAAATTTGTATAAATAATTTACATATAAATACATAAAAATGAAAAAAATAATAAATGATAAAAAATGAGTCTGTAGTGAGGCCACACATACTCATCAGTTAAAATATAGGATAAATTACAAATACACTCTCGAGATTTGATTAAAATACGAATCGCCCTCTGTGATTTTAGAAATTATATTTCACCCTTTGAGGTTTCTAATTTCATAACAAATTGCCATTTTTACTAATAAATTATCAAGTCAATTAATCATTTTTAATAATGTTAGAAATATATTTCAATTAATAATTTAGATAATTTTATTATTGTATAGGAGAGTAATTATGAATTTTATTTTTTTAGTTAATTCTGTTAAATAATTTTTTTTAATAAACAGTGTTATTTTCTAAATCACATGAGCAATCTGTATTTTAATCAAATTTCAAGAAATGTATTTATAATTTATCTTAAAAAATAAAACAAAATAGAAAATAACAAACAAAACACAAACAGGGTGTATACACTATACGCCGTGGAGAATTGGGTAGTGGTGGGTACGAAACGCATATGTCAATACCGTTTCATGCCACTTTCATTTCAGTTATTGTAATCAACGAAAACCAAGTTATTGGTTGGTTCTGAACGCCGTTACCAATTGGTATTGTGATGGTATTATAATTGATAAAAAAAATAAGTAGATTAAATAATTAAAAAACATTAAAAAATATAATGATTTGTAATTAATAAGGAATAGGAAAATGTTTGAGGGTCACAATTTTTGTGGTTCAAATGGCTCAAAATTGTCAAAACGATGTCGTTTTGACAATTTTGAAATTGTTTTTGTTAATATATAATTGTTAATTTATAATTGTTAATTAGCTTTAGCTTTAGTATATAAATTGTATAGCTTTAGCTTTATTCCTTTTGTTGCTTTCGGTGATAGTGGGTCTTGTTGGTATCCAATGTTTCATTCTTCTCTCTATAAAGAGAGAGTTCCTTCTCTTTGTAATGATAACATACAATATAGAAATACAATCAATCTTGTAATACATCAATCAATAATATACATCAATTTGTTTTACATGGTATCAGAGCAAGGTTAACAATCTAATCATTCTGCTTCACCGGCGGGCGGCAGTCTCGCCTTGGCCGCCCGCCGGACCTCTACACATACCTTCACTTTCCTGCATCCTCCATTTCCTCTCTGCTGCTCGTCAAACATGGCGGCCACCACTGGTAGCCCTGGCATCTCCATCCGACCACATCGCATCTCTGCCTCTGCCTGCGTCCTGAGAGATCAGATCGCTCAGGGATTCTGATATTGTCACCGTTAGTCAACATAGTCACTCTGTACCAAATCTTCATCAAGCTTTCAAAATTTGCAGCTATGGCGATTCGGTTCACCGTCACCTACTTCGGTTCACCGTCACCTACTCCGGCTATGTTGCCCACAACCTCGCAGCCTCGGCTTCCAACAAAGCTGGAGGTTGCCGATTGTTTCACGAATGCTTCGTCTGCTCTCGTTTCTTCTGTCACAACCAGAAGCCCGACGGCAAAAAAAAAAAAAAACCCAAAAAAAAAAAAAAAAACAAAAACAAAAACAAAAAAAAAAAACATCTCTGGGTTCTCTCTCTAGACATTCCTCTCTCTCTCGGCTCGGGAAGAGGAAGAGGAGGGACACCACACAGAGACAGCACACACAGACACTCAACACCCTCAACACTCTCACACACCATACACACACACACACACCATACACCCACATTCAACACACACACAGCACACACAGAACAGGGACACTTGGGCTACACACACACACATGGTGGAGAGGAGAGAGAGCATTTGTTTTTGAGCAAAAACTATATCCATACACATCAAGACAAGACACTAGTCTTCAACCTCTTTCTCGGCTATCACACACTCAGACGCATTTTTCTTGTTAGCTTTTGTTGGTTGATCATCTGCAACACACAGGGACAACACCCATCCTTGGCTGACCACACACTCTCTCTCTCTCTCTCTCTCTCTCGGCAGACCTATGCACATGGGCACACACTCAAACAACAAACAACAAACATCATCATCTCTCCCACCAACTCCAATCCCACTCAACTTTCTTTTCTTTTAATATATATATATATATATATATATGTTTATTAAGCTCCCACCATGTCCACTTTCTTTTTATTTATTTATTTATTTTTCATTCAAAAAAAAAAAAAAAAAAAACAAAACATAACAAAAACATAAAAAAAAAAAAAACTTCCCAATTTGCACAACAAATCATATTTTATTCCTTTCAGGGATCAACCCCGATCACCATTTTACACAACACACCAAAAAAAAAAAAAAAAAAAAAAAAAAAAAAAAAAAAAAAAAAAACACTGCTACAACGGTCCGACATGACCCCGTAAACTGTCCTGCTACAACGGTCCGACATGACCCCGTAAACTGTTCTGCTACAACGGTCCGACATGACCCCGTAAACTGTTCTGCTACAACGGTCCGACATGACCCCGTAAACTGTTCTGCTACAACGGTCCGACATGACCCCGTAAACTGTTCTGCTACAACGGTCCGACATGACCCCGTAAACTGTTCTGCTACAACGGTCCGACATGACCCCGTAAACTGTTCTGCTACAACGGTCCGACATGACCCCGTAAACTGTTCTGCTACAACGGTCCGACATGACCCCGTAAACTGTTCTGCTACAACGGTCCGACATGACCCCGTAAACTGTTCTGCTACAACGGTCCGACATGACCCCGTAAACTGTTCTGCTACAACGGTCCGACATGACCCCGTAAACTGTTCTGCTACAACGGTCCGACATGACCCCGTAAACTGTTCTGCTACAACGGTCCGACATGACCCCGTAAACTGTTCTGCTACAACGGTCCGACATGACCCCGT